TACAGCATTAAAAGGAATTGTACACCCTAGTTTTAGAAGGGTTAAATTGGGGGTACTGTCAGTGTGCAAAAGAGTGATACGTTCACCGAACATCTAACTACCCTTGTGCACCACACAATTTGGGTAACGCAAAGTACTCTTGTGTATCTGGTTTTGTACATAGCTCATTCTTAAGAGTTCTAGAGAGATTCGGTTAATTTTTCTTTGGCTGTTGAACAAACATCTGCCCCGATCAGCTCACCACAAAGTAGAGGGCAGTGAACGTTACAGAAGACATACATCTGATTAACATTTTTTTATGAAGCTAACTATAGTTTTCTCCCTCTCCTTCCTTTCTCTAAGCCTCTCAGTGTTAAAAAATTCCATCTGAAACAAATAGCTTAATTCAATATTACAATCCTGTAGCACTTTAAGGGCAGAGCTACCAAAAATTGAACAATGCTAAGTGGGCTCCCATCCCAAGAAAAATTGTTAGTGAGATTCCAAGTGTTGTTTGAAACATTATCATTGTCATACTCAGCCTGTACCTATAATGTCCTTCCTAATTCTACAAGGCTCTCCACCACAGTCTGTTGTGATTGGGTCAACATATGCTGGAGTTTGGCCATGCAGACCCCTCTTATCAGCTGCTCCTCTGTCCAGATAGCCTTTACCATGGGTGCAGATGAACAAGCAGCTTGAAAGGAATTGCCATCTTCTTTTCCTTTGTAAGGTTCCTTCTGTGGAGTTGGTGATTTGATACTTCCCTCCACCCCTCTGCTCTCTTCTGTGTTTTCCTTGGGTTCTATCCTTTAGTCTCTTCCCCTTCAGACCAACCAGACTGAAGGAGAGGCAGCTAGTGGAGTTCGAGTCTTTCCTCTCTGACTTGTCTGAGAAGATCTCTCCCACCCCAGCCACTACAGTATGGTGTAAATCCTACCATATAGCTGTTATGTAGGGAGTAGCCACTTCCATAGTGCCCATTAATAGCTGAGCCAACAGAGGATTACAGTCTGTGGAACACCAGTCCCAAATAAGATTGGTTAGAAATTTCAACCTGGCCAGTTGAGCAGCAGACTAGCCTTTTAGACACCCAGTTGTGCTGAGCTCAATTCAGTTTTCTAATGCCAATTACTTTTTGTCACCAGCCTAATAGAGTTCTATGCTGTGAGTCCATCCTCAGAGTAGAAGGATGTGAGTTCCCCAAACAGATGCAGTCAACTATTTTGACTTTGCTCTTCTCAATCATTGCGGTTTAGTTTCCACATTGCATTTCTAAGAGTCTGACAATATTAACCATATAACATCTATTTTAAAAATAGCAAAGACAGAGATGGGAGTGTGGGAAAGTGAACAGAATCAAAATTTTAGCTTCAAATATGAATTTTGTTTGACATACACATTTTGTGTCTGCCAATAAGTTGTATCTTTTTTCCAACTGATCAGCTAGCCAGAAATTCCCAGTCATTTGAGGGCTGCAGGTGACAGGTAGCTAAATAGCAGTGATTCTGATAATTGAGGAAACTTGACTACTGCCAGTCCAATATGGAGTAATTAAGGCATATCAATCATTTGATACATGGGAAAACATTGACATACACATTTTGTGTCTGCCAATAAGTTGTATCTTTTTTCCAACTGATCAGCTAGCCAGAAATTCCCAGTCATTTGAGGGCTGCAGGTGACAGGTAGCTAAATAGCAGTGATTCTGATAATTGAGGAAACTTGACTACTGCCAGTCCAATATGGAGTAATTAAGGCATATCAATCATTTGATACATGGGAAAACAGATTCA